GGTTCTTTGTTTGGTTTTGTTTGTTTGATTGTTTGTTTTAATGAAGACTTACGGTATGTGGGGGGTTTGATTTTATTTTTTTTTTCTTTTTAATCGAGGTTAGTTTCTTGACCTGCTTCACAGTGCTGCCTTCCTTAAAAGTGGGGACAGCATAACTAAAAGGGCAGTATTTTCTGATATGGGTTGTGGTAGGTGTGGGAAAGGGAAGGCAGCTTCTTTTGCCCATCCCACTATGAAGACCCTGTGAGGTCAAGCCACTGTGTGGCAAGTGGAGAGACACTGAATAAAAGAAGTCTTTTCTCTTGTACTCAGAATTTGTTTCTCAAGAGTGCTTTGCTTAGTGGTCAGAAGAGAATCATAATTAGTTGTCAACTCTGATATTTGAGGCTTTCTGGGTGCCCACAGTATGATGGGTCATTGGCTGATGTGCTGGGTACAGCACAGAGAGAATTCAGTTACAGCTTGGCTGCAAATTTGTGAAAGCACTCCATGCTGCTTAAATTTTTGAGGTTGGTCTTTTTTTTTTTTTTTTTTTTTTTTTTTTTTTTTTTTTTTTTTTTTTTTTTTTTTTTTTTTTTTTTTTTTTTTTTTTTTTTTTTTTTTTTTTTTTTTGAGCAATTTCCCACTTACAGTACTTGGTGTTAATTTTAAAACATCTTTATACACCCACTTGTGCTCTACTTGAACCATAAGATCTTTCTCTCTTCTGTTTCTTGGTAACATAATGTTTTGGTAGTCTTTGCTTAAGCCTGGAGATTAGGCAGTTGTCAGTTTTTGTTTTGCCTGTCTCAGTGTCTGTTTCCTAGGGACAAAGTCATCCTGCAGATGGTTGCTCCGTTTCCATCACCTAACCCTGCAGCATCCATTCAGTCTTATTCAGAAAGTAGTGCTGTACAGTTCTGTTTCTGATTATTTTTTCCCTAGTGTGAGGAGCACGCCTTCTTAAGCTTTGCATGAAATGCTTACACACAGATCCTTTTTCTTATTAGAGCCTTACATTCTGTCCCCAGACACCATATTGTCTATGGTGGTTTGGATCAGGAAGATTAGCTGGCTGCTCCTGTAATTTTTGTCAATTCCATTTCTTAATTAGTGACTTGCAGGAGATTTTTTAAATAACCTGAAATATTATACTACCTCACAGTTGATGGATGGGTACTTTGCTCTCAGATTACCATTATTGCTTCTTATTCTCTTTTTGCTTCTCCTCCTTTTCCTTCCCTCCCCTCCTCCATCCTCCCTGTAATGACAGAAATTGCAAGTATTTCTTCTGAAATATTTAGTCACATAAAAAGAATGACTTAAAAATGCTGAACACTAAAGTGTTTGTGCTGCCCTTGCTTGTGTCCATTTGAGTACTCACTGAAATGAAAGGGGAAAATGGAAATGGAAAAGGGGAAGGGAGGTGGGCTGGTAACTGCTGCCATTTTTAAAATTGTTAATTCTTCATCTTTTCCTGGGAACTTAACATCTGTGGAAAAGAGTAGATTTTTAGACTCTAGAAGAGATGCTTGCCGAGGGTTTTGGAAAAAAAAAGGTTGGTATTATTATCTGCTGAAAGCTGCTCTTACACTTTCATAGTTTAATCCCTCTGATACTTGCTGCTCACTTTGCAACCCTATTTCCCTTTAACATTTAAATGAATCATTACATACCTGTCAGACTTTAGGCTTTGGAGCAAATGCTGAAAAGAAAAGTGTCTCAGCCTCCAAATTAACAGCCGTACTTACCATTTATGGAATGCTTGAAATTCCTAGAAAAGCTGCCTTACTTGAATTTTAGTATGATTATGCTTGATGTTTTTGTTCAGAGTACTTGAATCAATTTGCAGATAAATCATTAAAATTTCCCTTTGCTCTGCTATTTTCTCTTTGTCTGCCAAGGAAGCAGGTGGATATTCCCACTCAGCAAAATGGAAATAATCTTAAATATGGAGTGGTGATCTGAACAACTTGAGGTTAATTTGTAAATCAGTATTTTGAGTCCTTAAGCTGTGCTTTCAATTTGTTATTTATGATAAAATTACAGCTAACTTGTTTCTGTTTAAACAGCTAAGTTTCAGCTCTCAGCAAATACATCCAGGTGTTTACTTTCTCTGCCTGGTGCTTTGAAATGAATCTTGGGAATTTGAACAGGGAGAACCTGTTTTATTCTGCAAACCTTATTTTCAGGCAAAATAATTATTTGATTTTTCATCTGTGGAAATGACTGACAAAAACTGTGCTGTGGAGTCAGTAAGTTTCATCATTAGGGGAATGCAAGCATCCCTTAATCAAGATGGGTTTTTAGGAAATGTAGCGTTTTTATTTACATGCAATGCTGATGCTTCTTCCTTAGGAGTTAATGGTCACGAGTGGCTGCTTCCTTTGTCTTTTAGTACTTGGACAGTTACTAATAAAGTATTATGAGTTTAAGACAGGGACAGAACTACTGTCCTGTTTAATGATTAAACTTATAAATGGTGTGAACTCTCACCTAGGTTTTGTATTTAAAACTTAGCTTTAAAGTCTGAATGTCCTTATTCATAATAGCTTGGTAATTGTCCAAAGGACTAAGTGTGCTTATTGCTGTGTCCTGATTTGTGCTTTCCTTTTATAAGATGTTGTAGTAGATGGCCAGGTGGTTAATGATCAACACATTTCTGTGTATTTTGGAAGGCAGATATGAAATTTTTTTTTCTACAAGCTTTTTAAGTCTAACTGAAGAAAATATTAGTGCCTCTGGAGGAACACTGTTAATCCTTTAATTTTTGGAGAATTTGGTGTCTGTTGGTATGCTGGCAAGTGGGTACTTCAGACAGTTATTCAGTACCATGCTTGTAATGTGTTCCTGCAGAGATTTTAGGTATGGATCAGCAGGATATGCAGTATCCCAAAGAACAGAAGTGCAGAGAACATGTTTTGAATGTACCACTCTTTGGGTTTGACTGAGGCTTGGGGTTAAGAATGTGCAACCTGAACATACTTAAGTAACTTGTTCGTATAATTAACACACTCTAAAATTTTTATAATCTTGACTTGCCAGACTTGGCAGCTGTCTCAGTCAGTAACTTTTGCTGAAGCTGGTGTGAGCTGAAGTTTGTTTTGCACAGTAAGACTGATGCACCTCTTCTGACCCAGGTCTTAGATCTCACTTGTGCAGCCATGGAGATAAAGTGAGTGAAAACAAGTAGGAAGGACCTCTTAGGAAGCCCTTAGGTTATGTATGACATTAAGGTAGGCTTGTACAGGTCCACATTTTGTCTTTTAAAATTACCACTGTTCAACTGTAATACATATGTTTATATCCATTTCTATCACGTATCTTATAATTTAATATTTTTTCTTCCCACTAATTTTACCTAGGAAAAATTGTGTATGGGTGGTGGATTTTGATTTTGAATAGAAACTGTTCTAAAAGCAGTTATTATCTACAATTGTAAACATTTAGATTCCTGTCCACTAAAAAGGCTTAAAATTGTAGAAGTCCTCTGGTTATGTGAAAGCATGTGCCACAGTTCTTTGCTGAATCTGTTGCTAAGTTATACTGCAGAAATATTTTTTTCTCTGGGTAATATAAGCGGAATAAAGATAAGGATTTAACAAATGGGGACTTTCTGCTTACTTGCAAACTTCTTTGCTGATAAGAAGGTTGATTTTTTTTTTAAATAACACCTTCCCAAATGCAATAAATATCTAGGCATTTAACTTTTTAGAATAAGAGCAACTGTTATAATTTAGAATTGCAGTGTTCCAGTTCTTCTGGGCTGATTTGCATTCAGTGTGAAGTTGGTCTACCACTAGCAGTATTTTTTGTGAGGTTAAAAATGACTGCTTAGCACATGTGTAAAGAACAGAATTTATTACATTTCTGTCCTTCTCCTAGGCACAAATACATAACCATCACTGAAATACCTTAGCCTGTTTTATCCATTTTGTGTGGTAATCCTATTTAACCCAGACCTAGAGGCCTACATGTTTGGAGACTTGGTCTAGTATTTCTTCTTAATGCTTCTGTGAAACTTTCTCTGCCTATTGTGTGAAAAACATGAAGGTATGCCATAGTTTGGTGCTCTTGTTTCTTCTTCAGTGGACCTGTGTGATGTATATTGCATTTCAAACTGATGACTAGGAGCCTAGATGAAATTTGAATATTACGTGCAAATCCATTCTTCTGAATTATTGTTTAGGAATATAAGTATTGCTGTTTATTGTTTTACAGCATACCTAAATGATTGCAGTTTTTCTGTTGTATTGGAAAAAAACCCCTTGTTTGGGGAGAAATATTTTGTGATACAAGCTTCTGAACTCAGTTCACATACAAGAGAGGTTTACAGGAAAATTTAAAAAAAGTTTTAACCAAACAGCATTAAAAAAGATAGGGAGGAAAAGTGGTGGTTGTGCTCTGGAACATACCATATATGCATCATAAATTTGTACTGAGATACAATACATAATATTTTGGGTGTTTGTGTGTGATGTACTGATAATTATCTGAAATGAGAGGGCGAGGAGGAGTTGGGAATAGCAGGGGAGATAATGAATCAAGTCTTACTTGAAGTTAGCAGGCAGTATTACGGCTTAATTCAAATTCTACCATACATGCAGAAAAATACAAACCACACATAACAAACAAAAATATTCAGCAAGCAATGATGAAAATAATCAATTATTTACTGAGTTTTTCTGTAATGTTAAAATATTTCACCAAGGTAAGTTGCAGTCAGAAGTAATGTGAGTTATTTTGAAAATGGCAATACATAAAGATGCATTTATACAAGTGCAAGACTAAATATTTTACATAACTGTATTTTAATGAGAAGATATACAGTAAGTGCACACTTGATAACACTAAGCAGGCAAAACTTAACGTTAGTTCCGTATATTGTTGTATAGTTCATGCACAGATCTTTCCCAAAGTAATGAGGCTGTTCCAAATAATTCTTGCTGGGATGAAAAACGGGATGGGTTGCTGGTAAGGGTGTTCAGCATGGATGAGGGTCAGTTATAGACATTACTTACTGTAATTTGTGATTGCCGTGGAAGAGGAGTGGCTGTTGGTGTGATAGTAATACTGCTGGTGATTTTATTGGTGGGCTTATTGGGTAGGCCATTGGCTAGTGCTGGAGTTCTGTTGTCTTGCACTGGATTACAAGGGCTGATGGGCTTGGAACTGGTGAGAGCTTGGACGTAAGGACTTCCTAAATGAATGTGGATTTTGTTATCCTCAGTAGTTATTACACTTGATCCTGTACTGTTAGATCTCTGAAACTGCCATGATGACTGCCTCTCTGGGGCTACTCTAAAAACAGCATGCTTGGCTCCCATTTCCAAAGGCTCCGGGGAGAGAGTTTGTTCCTGAGAACTTGAACCGGGTAAAGCCAAAGGGGACATTGTTCTTTCAGGAGTTATAGAACCACACGATTCAGGAGTTTGAGATCTTGCAAAAGTAGTCATAGTAATAGGAGAAATTACGTGCTCTGGGGTCATGTAACCTTCTCCTGCTTTTGATTTTACAGGTGTTAAGGAGGCGTTTTGAATAATGGTTATTCTTTGCTTTGGAGTGCCACAGTTGGGTATAACTGCCGTGCTTTTGTAGGAGTGAGGGCTTTCAGTGGTAGGACTAGTTATTTCAAGGGTTGCTGTGTTCTGTCCATGGTCTGGAGTTACTTTTATGTGAAGAGGTTGGCCAGGTGTGTGGCTTAGCACTAGATCTCCAGTCTGTGCACAGTTTCCATTTTGCTTTGTATGTATCTTTCCATTTTGAGGATGGCTCTCTTTGGACTTCATCCAAGGGATCCATAATTTTTTGTTTATGGCATTTGCAGTGGATGAGTTGCTTTTGAAAGACACTGTTTGTTCCTCCTCATGATTGCCTTTGTCCTCGTTATCACTGTCTTCATAGAGCTGCCCATTTATGACTGTTCTCTCTAAAGGCAGGAGTGTTTTGTAGTCGGGTGGTTCATTGTCTGCTGGATCTGTTTGGATTTCTTTAGAAAAAACTTGCACATCAGAAACTCTCCTTCCGTTGTGACCGGGCCTGAAGTTCTTGCTGAAGGATCTGTACCTTTCCACCTCTTTCCTGAGGCTTTCCATCTCTCTTGCTAAGTCCCTGTTTTTGTTTTCTTGCTGGAGGAGTTTCCTCTGTAAGACTGAATGATCACCTCGGAGGTGGCAGATGAGGTCTTCTGTTTCCATGTACTCATGCATTTTCTCTTTCAGTGCATCTACTTCTCTGGAAAGGTGACTCGATTTAGCTTCCTCTTCTTTAAGCTTCTTAAAAAGGCGCTGCTCCTGATTGGACTCTGCCTTTTCTGTTAATTTATACCTAGCCATTTCCATTTTCACAGCTTCCAGCTCCTCTGAGAGGAGCTTGGCTCTGTCTCGTTCACTGACATATTTTCGTTCTAGACACTCAAATTCATCTTCAGTTTTCATAAGATCATCCTCTACGGCCTTCATTTCTTTGAGCTTCTGCTTAAGCCTCTCAACTTCTTGAGAAAGCTCTTTGATTATGTTGTTTTCCTGCTGCAAGGAGGTGCTAGATTTAGTACCATCCTTAATTTTACTTTTAAGAAACTCTTTTTCAACGTCTTCCAGTGACTGGAGTCTCTTTCTTAGAATATTCACTTTAGAAACAAGATCACTTCCTTTCTCTTCTTCTGCTTTGAGTTTGTTTTTCAGTTCATCTCTTTCTTTTGTAACACTGGACATTTTTTCCTCTGCATCAGATTTTGATTTCAGTGCCTTTTTACTTTCCTCAATTAGTTTTTCTGTAACTGACATCACTTTATTTTGTTCCACCTGAAGCTGAGAAGTTGCAGCTTGAAGCTTTTCTTCTGTTTGCTTTATCTTTTCACCCATAGTTTTTCTTTCATCCACAAGCATCACTGTTAGGCTTTTCAGCTTTGTCAAATCTTCTTTGAGTGTAAACTCAGTTTTTTCTAACTTACTTTCAACTGCTTCAAGCTCACCAACTCTAGCTTTTAAACCGTCCAGCTCATGGGACAGCTGCTTTGTTAACATTTTTTCTCTTTCTAGATTGCATTTCAGGGAGTAGCATTCCTGTTTACTCTTGTTGAAAGCATCTTCTAGTTTCTCCAGCTCCATAATTCTTTTGTTAAGTTTATCAACTTCCCCTTTAAGGTTCTTGCTCTGTGATGCTTCTTTTTCTAACTTTCTGTTAAGTTCTCTGCACTGATCTTCCATTTTTATGAGCTCTTCGTCTTTTCCTTCCATCTCCAGCAGTCGCTTACGTAGTTCTTCTACTTCAGTCATAAGTGTGGCATTCCCACACTCTCCCTTACTTATCTTATCCCTTAGGTCTTGCAGTTCTTCTTCTGCTTTTCGTAGAGATTTGTTGGTCTCTTCCAGCTCATCGATTTGTCTGGTGAGAGCAGTTAATTTTAACCGGAGCTGGCGATTCTGACTGTCTTCGTTGGTTAGTTTGGCCATCATTGCTTCTTGGTCTTGGGAAATCTTATTGCTTTGGGCTTGAAGTTCAGCCTCCAGCCTGCTGGCTCTCTGTTTCTCTTCTTGAATTTTTGCTTCAGCAAAAGCCAGCTTCTCGTGTGCTTGCTCTGTAGAAGTGGTTAACTCTTGAATTTTTTTACTTTGTTGATTCAACTGCTCAGTGAGTCTTTGCTGTTCATCCACCACCATTAAAGCAAAGGATTTCAGTTTAGTTAATTCTTCTTTCAGTTTAGCAATTTTTTTGTTGTTTTCCTTCTCTTTTTTTGCCTGATATGCTGTTTCTTGTTCAAGAAGCTTTTTCAATCTGTGTGAGGAAAAAAATTGTATTTTGTAGCCATTTTAATGGGCATTTAAAAACACACTTGAAATATTATGACTTGTCAGATGTGCATACCCACATGTATCTACAAGCAGACCTCTCCTTGCAGCATCATTTGGAAGCGCCCACTGGCCTTATTTTCTATTCAGAAGTTCCTTTGTAATGAACACTTCATTTAGACTTAACAGCTTCAGTAATTAGGCATCTTTGATTACGTTTTTAACTTTTGACAGGATGCAGTGCAACAAAACTATTTTGGTATTCTGCACTGGAACTGCACTTACCTTGGCTGTTTGCTGAGGCTAGGTATGTGCAAAGAAATGTGATTATTATAGAGTTTGAGAAATTAAATCAGTGCAGCCCTCAAGGGCAGGCATAATTTACAGCATCATAAACCTCCTAACTTTGTTACTTATAAACCATCCTGATGTTTTATGATTAAGCCTTATGGATGTTCTAGTATGTGAAGGAAATGTAGCCACATCAGGCAGTTGGTCAGGCTAATGTGAATTTTTAAGCAGAACATCAGACCAAAATTAAACCATGCAGGTAGGTTGGTCCTCAGTGAAAATGCAGTATCTGACCCTGTATCAAACATATACACGCACAAAAAAACAGTCAGCAGATAAACAGGTATTCAGGTCATGCCTTGTGAACTTAAAGCCCAAATGTCTTGATGTTGGTTAGCCTTGGATTTGGTCTTATATCCAAACTTGCAGATACGCTTAAGTGCAACCCTGCTTTTACGTGATTCTTGAAGATTTTCGTAATGATTTTCCAAAATTAGTTTTACAAGTTTATGTTGCACCTCAGTAAAGATTGAGGATTAACATATTAATTTGCTAGAGACTTGGGATGAGGTTGTGCATTTGTTTAAAACTCCAAATACCTCAAGTAATTAGATTCTTTTGTAGACTTTCCTTTGTCAGGGAGATGTTTGCAAAGAAGTTGGTCTAAAATATGATTAGGTTTGGCCAGCACATATGCCTCCTTTCAGTTACATTTTTCCTACAGCCAACCTATAAGTATATTCTGGTATTAAACAAAAATCTGAAAAGCTCAAGTTGAAGTAATAAAATATTAGAATTTGGGTGTCTCGCTGTTGTTCATGTGTATGGTGCATAATGAGTTGTGTAGATCTCGCAAGGGAAGTGACCTGTGTTATCAGGACTGTGCTAATACAAAATGAATGTTTCAGCACTCATTAGCTGAGGCCCCTTTATTTTTTTTCCCCCTCAGAACTATGATGACAACTGTCTAGAAGTTGCTGCTGAAACATAAGATTCCTGTTCCACATTTGTCTGTGATCACTATTGTGATGCCCTTGTCCAAGAGATGAGTCTTTACAGCTTCCCACTGACAAGTTCTTGTTGCAGCCATCCTTTTAGTTCAGGAAAAGCTTAGATAACAACCTCCTTTGCACAGCTCTTAATTAGCTGTTGACTGACTGGAGGCATATATTTCTAGGCAATAGACTGCCTCAGCAGCATCCCCTTTGGCAGCATTGTGGTTTTCCAGCACAGATAGGGGAAGTCCTTGCCCTTCTACAACTGTCCATCAGACTTGTCTGATTTAATGGTGATATTATATAGAAGTCTATGGCTGTAAAATTTCTCATAACATCTTCACAGTCCCTACTGTTTCTATGTTAGGGCCTAAGTTGCACTGTATTGAATGTAATGAAATGCTTTATATGACAAATTGACAGGATGGAACATAGCCATAAACAGAGTTGATATCAAAGACTTGAAGCAGTCGCAAATTCTTTATAACAGTCAGTTAACATAATGGAGAAAACAGACATGAAAAAGCAGAAATGTAGAGGGAGAAGTTTTTGAGGTTAGTTTGAAGGAATGCTACTGGTTGGCAGAACAAATAAACGGGGAAAGGACTGCACCAACTTCAAAGGCATTGTGTTGATGGTATATAAACTTTTGTCCACTTTTCAGTGCTACTTTCAGTTTGAATTCTTTTTAGTTTAAAAATCTCTCTTCTCTCCCCACCCTTGTCTCTAAATGCTTTAGTAGTGAAGTTCAATTGATGATTTACCGTTGCCATAGATATAAAACCATAACAGAAGCACAACTAACAATTTCATTTGGAATGGACTCCGCTTTTCTGTGTGTGTGAAGTTAAGACATATTATTACTGTTACTGGGACTTATTAGCATTTGATTTATTTTAGCTTGCTTCACTAAAATTTGTTTCTGTAAGGCAGATTTATCTGTGGTCA